TCGAGAACAGAACGCGGAAGGAGTTAAGAACGAGCAATCGTTGAGGTATATAAGAGCAGCGGCCAACACTGAAGGGACAGTTAGAAAGTGAGCTCGTTGGTGATGACACTGCTGCAAAGCGAAAATAGTGTGAGTTATGAAATAAGTCGTTTTATTTGGTAAAGCGAATTGTTATTTATTGAGTAATAAATAAAAGTTGATTATGTTCATTACAATTAAGAAATTGTACAACAAATTCGGTATAATCATCGAGAAGTTTTTTTTTTTAGCAAAATCGTTAAGTATTTTGGGAGCACAGTAAACAGCTAAAGGTGGCAACACTTGTTTTTACAATGAATTCCTATCGTTTTCTACTTCTTAATGTTGGTCCAATGATGACTAGATACGAAACTCTTTATTCCGTGAGAGCGCCCAAAAATCCGCATTTTTTATAACATTTCTGAACAGTGCCACTGTCATTTGACTTCTTTGGATTTTTAGTTATATTTTGGGTGTTTTATTACAACCAACGACGCCTTTAATTAAAATTTCACTAAAATATTTCATTGAGAAACAATCGATGATTTAGTTCTATCAAGCTTTAGCATCAAAATTATAATAATTTCTTTAATATTTATTGCTGAAGCAAATTTCTTTTAAAACAAAAACAATGGTTTAGTGGCACTGGTGAGTTTTGCCCATCAGATGTTATATGTTCCCCAATCTGACACTGCTACCAACATTAGAATGTGAGATGGGGAAACGCTCTTAGCTGCAAATTGAGTGATTTTGAGTAAATTTCGTATCTACAACATCAAATGAGGGGATTTCCCGAACATTTACAGAAGGTTGGCCCTGTTCGGCAACAATTGTAACTGAATTTTACTAAACAACGTTCGGTGAGGTAAAAAGCCATTTCGTTACTGTCTAATTGCTAAAGAGCCTGTTTATGAGAACTTGAAAAACAAAGGTCGTCAAGTTATGACTGAGATAATGCCCAATGCGGACCAAGACTGGTGCGAAATTACCTCGAACAGATCGAAGTTTGCAAAAATTCGCTAGCCAGTTATTTTAACGATTCAGTGAAGAACGAAAAGAGAATGTCTCTCCTATACAAATGTAAACATCAATTTATTCAATTCGTCTTAAAGAGACAGACGAAAAAATCGACCTATGGGCTAATAACAAATGACGTCCAACATTCCTGACATTGGTTGGCTGAAATGAATTTACTGTTGTTACCAAAATATGCAAATTTTATGTACGTATACATATCTATATTGGGGCTTTATATGTAACGTCGTCGAAAAAAACATAAAAAAATCGCTGGAGCGATTTTCGGCCGAGCTCCTCCTCCAAATTAAGGGTATGCATCTTGATGTTTTCCAAAAAATGGAGGGACCTACAGTTTATTCTAAGCCGCTTCCGCATGGCCTATCGATTTTTATGAGGACCTTTTTATACCACGTCAGAAATACACTCGGAGTGCTGGGCATTCCCTGCCGAGTTGCGACCGCTGGCTGGATGCTAGTCGAACTAAGACTGGAACCCTGACCTTCCAAATGATAGTAAGATATGCTAACCTCTCTTAAATAGCGATAATCAAATAAATACATATGTATGTTTTATTTGATGTTTGAAAAATAATCAAATATATATGTATAATATTTAATTAATTTATTTTGCTGTATTAAGCTTATCAGCGTTGGCTATCGGCTGTGTCAGTATAATAAAAAAATTAAGATTATTATACATACTCGTATATTAACGTTGATCGCGATGATGATGTGACGTTGATATTATGGGATAAGAGGTTCAGTTGTTGAAGATTGCTCTTCTGCATATGGAGTATGCCTAACATTCGGAAAGTACAATAGATAAAGGTGTTGCCGTGAAAATTTTTATTTAGTCCGTTGTTTAGAAGGTGGGAATGTTTTGCGTTTGTGTGGTCGAGGCCTTTAAATAATACGTTTTGCCCTCTTTCAGTAGTTGTTGGGTATATACCAACCTGTTGTCTTGTCAGGTGTTTTTTTTCCCCTAAAATTGGGGTTATAATGAATGGTGCTTCGCATGTTGTTTTTGCTATTTTATCTGCTATCCAGAAGTTTGTTTTGTTGTGATGTTCTAGTATATTGGGAATGTCGTTTATGGTATAAAATTTGTTGCTTGAACTGCTTTTTATGACTTGTTAGAGGAATGGAAAATGGTTTGCTTTACATAACGGCTCACTCCATATTTGAAAGCGCCTGTGTAGAGAAGGTCATAATACGTCTGCGTTTTAGAGGTTCGAGATCCTGAGAGAGTCGGGTCCTTATATCGGAACGGCCTGAAAGTGCACGGCCTTGACCTATTTCGTTGTTTAGTTATTAGGAGTTCGTGGGTGTGTTTGTTACTTTGACTCTTAACTACTGTTTTGTTAAGTAGAATTCTTTGAATGCTACTATGGTTCTTTGCTAAAAAACGTTACATGAGTGGAAGTGTCGAGAAGGGCGTCTGAGCTCCAACTTTTGGTCTTCTATGCAAATTCGCTATGCAATATAGCAACAAGATTATTTGCAGAGAATGTTAAGCCTTCCGAGTGTGTTAACGACATGAAATAAATGCTCCCCATAAAAAAACCATCAGCAATTCTGGGGTGGTTTATTATTAACCATGACAATTAATTGAGTTGGAGAATTGTTTAAAACAGCTGGATTTAGCTGATTTTGCTTCTACTCAAAACTTGAAATTTGATATTTTGTATCGAATGCGATTTTCGTCTGCGAAAGATACTCGTCAGCTCAGCGTTTTGCCAGCGTATTGAGCATTGTTCTGATGTAAGTGATTGCGGAAAGTATTGGTTGGTAGCTGTGCCGCGGCATCTCTTTAGATTATTTGAAGAATTGATGTTTATCCTATGACTTCCGTAAAATGTTATTGTTGTTGTTGTAGCGGCTACGTTAACCCCGCTTAAGGTTTAAATTCAAGGTTTAAAATCAATCTAAGTCACAGAGTCGACGGGGTTGGACCAAAGGAAGAGGGGGATTAGACGAGTCGGTTTATAGGGCATGTGAAGAGGTGGTTGGTGTTGTGCGGAGACTCTCCACATGAAGGGCATACGTTGGATATGCTGGGGTCGAGTCTGGATGAGTAAGAGTTTAACCTGCTACAGTATCCAGACCTAAGTTTTGCCAAGGTCACGCGAGTCTCTCGAGGCAACTCGCGTTCAGTGTCTGTCTGTACGCCGTCCTGGTCATCGTTTGTTGTACATGTTGCTGGATGGCGTTTCTTAAGTGGAGTACTCCCTGCCTGATGTGCCTACGGTAACATCCCAGTAGCAACTGCTTGCACAGCTAAGCAGTATGCTTGTACAGCTACGTAGCTTTCCTGTCGCGGTTCTGAGAGCAGTCCTCCGACAAGCCTATAACTTCTTCAATTGCTTTAAGGGTTGTCAGCAAAGTTCCTTTATCTTAACCCAGGTGCTCCCGGCTAGTGCTTTGAGTATTTTTTTTTGGGCTCTTGAGTTTTGCGGCAATTGTTGTCGTAAATATGTGGAGTGAGAGAATGCAGGCTGTCGAGTGTGGTTCCCAAAATCTTTTTGGGTTATTTATGGTCGAAACTTTTACGTCATCAACCTTCACATCTAATTCTAGCCTGCATTCCTTCGTCCAGCTGGTGGGTTGCCGAGGATTTCGTCGGTTGTATTTTAAGAACAAGTAGGACAGATCGGCAAGGTAGCAGTTTACTTTCGAACAAAGGTCATTAATATCCAGGCCATACGCCAATATCGTGTAATCATCGGCATATGAGGTTAGGGAAACTTCCTTTGGGGGGAGAGGAGTTTCGAAATGTAGAAATTAAACAATAGTGGGGAGAGAACACCACCCTGCGGAACCCCTTGTTTAATTCTCCTTGGTTTCGATGTTTCACCTCGATATATCACCGATAATTGTCGACCACTCAAGAAGCCCATGATCCACCTCTGCAACCCCGGCAGTAATGAGGATACCTCAATGTCCGATAGTAGCACTGAATGAAAAGTTTTTGACAGATCCAGTGCTACCAGGACAGTTCGCGTGCAGGGTCGATTTTGATTAAGACCATTGATTATCTGGGTGTTAATGACGTTTAGTGCTGTTGTGTGCTGTTCTTCCATAAAAGGTCGTGCACAGTTCTTATTGTTGTTAGAACGGGGGAATGACCGCTGTAATAAAGATCAGGTAAAGTATTACAGGTTGTTACTGGTAGGACTGCAGGAGAACATCAGGTAACAGTAAGATGTATAAGAGATCCATGTGCTAGTAGTAAATAATATATGTAGCTGTAGCTGTAGCTGATTCAAGAATTATGGTTCTGGAATTGTTGGCTGGTGGACCCCACAGCGTGTTCGAACTGTTGATGTTGTCAATTAAAATTATCGGTTTTAGCGTGTTATGGAAACAAATGTCCCATACCTTGTGAAACCATTCATGGTGATTACGGTTATATCGTTATTAATGAGGTTGGTTTCCGTTGCCGAAATCTACAGCCGTTGTTTTGCGATGATTTAAATAATGATGGTTGGATAGGTGACTCCTGTTATGTAGCCTTGTTGGACGTCTGATAAGTGTTACTGATAGGCATGTTTGTACTGTTAGCTTATGTAGATATTTAAAATATATTTATAATACATTTAATCAGATATACACACATTACATACGTACATGCATATGTATAATATGCTTAACAAGAATGTTACCTAAAGGTCCATGCCCAAGATGAGGCGATACCATCGAAAAACTTTGCATAGAAAATTAAAGTTGTACAGCACAGCAGTGCAAGCAGGAAATATACAAAGTTGGAGGAATAAAATCGTATTTATTCGCATACTAGAAAAATTGTGTTTCTTAATAACATAAACATGCTATCGCGGCCAACAGAAGGAAAAAAAGAAGCAATATGGAATAGACAAACTAATGCTTCGCCAAGATCTAAGAACGTTTGAAAGAATGTCTATCACAAATGTGGTTAGTCGGCGAGATTCAAATAAACTAATACAAAAATTTTTGTTGAAAATTAATAAAGCTTTTATTTGAGTAAAATATAAAACAAACAACATAAACACAAAATCTTATACATATTTGATTATTATGTAACTTTTCTTAGTCATTTCTACGATCATTCGAATTATATTCCTGGCATCAGTCTCTTGAGGTATTATTTCCTGCGATGAGTTTGAGCAGCGCTAGTGGTACGTTCATGGTTTGATCATCTATTAAGACAATATCGAAGGTACTCATATATTGCTCTATATACTCCTCGGCCTAAAAAATTATATGATTTATTAAAAATAATAATTGAAAAATAAATAGCGGACTATATTTACATGGTGAAAAAGGAATCCAATTTTTAGAATGTGAGATGACGATGGGACACCATCGGCCATGCCAGAATCAGCTAAAGAATCTCCCATTAATATTATATGGTCACGAGTGTGGACTAAATCGTAATATTCAGTACCCTTCAACAATTTTTCATTTTTATTGAATGTGTGTATTATGGGCTTTTGGAACCCATTTAACATAGTATCGTCTTTAAATTGAAGAAAATTCGATATAACATTCATGTTCGGATATAGAAGTCCTGCATGACGCAGCATTGCATTGACGCAATTTCCTAGCCCGGCAGAGAATACAAGTACTGGGATATTGAGCTCGTTTAATTTTCGAAAGAGTTCATCTGTATTATCTCGTACGGAATATGCATATTTTTTAGCAATTTCGTCGATTTCTTTCAAGTCGAAGGTAAAACCCCTGCGGATATAAAAATCATTATTATTATGGATTTTTTTTTTATTTAATACGATTATAAGCATGTTTACAGGATGCGCCATGTAGACTTTCGGTATTTCAACATTGAAGAACCTTGATATTTTTCAGCCGATTTTGATTTGCCATTTATTTCGAATCAATTTTAGAACCCAACGTCGATTAAATGACCATTTTCATTTCATTTCACATTGGCCAGAATCTCAGTCGTTATAGCAACTTTTTCGGCTCGTTTGTTTCCTTTTATTTAGTCGATTTTCTTTGGATTGCTTGCAAAAACTTTATTTTTTAAATATCAAAAAAAAGGCAACTATCTAGTAAAAATCTGGAGAACATGGAGTCCACTGCAAATTAAATATTCCCACACAACGCTTCATACGATAAGCACGCACTGTTTCATCGCGTTCCTGCGTTGTGAATTGGTACATGGTAAAATGACGTTAACAAACATACACATTTGTCAAAATCGGCTAAAACCGACAGAATTAATAAACGATGAAATATCGAAGGTGTAGATGGCGCCTCCTTTATCCATACGTACATATAATATATTATATTGTAGTAATATTAAAAATTAGTGTATATACAAAGTAATACATACAATTAACATGCAAAGCATCGGCTGTGAATCATTACTTGGAAGTCGCTATGCGAATTGCAGCAAGTTTTATCAAACAACATATATTCCCTTGTATTGAGTTATACGTTTTTAATAGACCCCGCATATATTGAATTTTAATAAAAGTAACTACATGCACCACGGGTTTTAACTTACATTAAATTTTCTCCTGATTTGGTCCACCATTCAATCATAGCTTTCGCTTTTTCGTCATTCGATATATGCGGGTCAACTTCTATAGGTCGGTATATGTCATGTAATTCCCGAGCTGCTTTTACAAAATTTGAAGGTAAAGATTTACATTCTTCAAAAATACCAAAACTGCTTGGCACAGGGGCTCCGTTGGATGTCCGTTGCTTAGTAATGGTATAATCGAAATCCGAAACTACCTGCAATCTTGTATGGCCCCCAAAAATAAATTCATTTATAATTTTTTCTACATGTTGTCTGTTCTTAATTTTGCAATTTTCACTGTTCAAAATTGGTATGTCTTCTAGTTGTAATGGCTTTGTATGCATTGAATTATTAGGCGAAGTGGTACTACTATTATCATGAGCACTAGTCATTTTATTAAAAAGCCTCGATATAAAAATATGAACTCGACGGCGAAACAGCTTGCAGCTTTGAACAAATGTACACTTAGGAACTCTTTGTCACTGTGCACCGACAAATAAAACTGCGATATAACACAATATGTCTTTTAAAATCTTTCAATGAAATACGCTTTGCGTTATTGTTTTCTAAGAGCGCTTTCTCCGATTCCAAACAATTAAAGAAATTTATCACACACAAAATTTACTGTCTTATGTCAGGAATGACAATTCCAAACAACTGATTAGTGCTTATTGACACAGATGGCAATTTCAAACAACTGATTATTTCTTATCGAACGGTTTCAGAAACTCATTTAATCGAAACCAAGCTGCGCTAATAGGTGTGTTCGCTGCGAGCGCCTACAATAAAAAGGGAAGCAGTTTTTGCAATAGACTTAACTTATTGTGGAGTTCATATATGATATTCACGCACAAACAAAACTGAATCAACCAATCAAAAAGCTGTCAGAAAAGCGTTTTAAGTACGAAATATCATCTTTCTAACGTCATTTAAAAAATTATTCATTATACAAATAAATCATTAAAAATAATGGATTGTTTTTTTATTACACCTGATATTTATTTAGTCGTATATATTTATATATTATTCATTTTACAAATAAATCATTATTGTTATTCATTTAAGATTGAATATTTTTAAGCATATATGTACAGTAGGGAGGAGCCAAATAAAAAGTTACGTTAAGATACATGAATGAACGGAGCAGAGAATTACCTCTGGTATGTGCCCAATCCTGGTTTCGACGGTGGGTGCTATTGTTTTATTTATTTATGTACGTTTTTATTTATTTAATAATAATAACAAAGCATTAGTACAATACAATTTCCATATATTTTTTAGTACAACAGAGATAGTGTGAAGAATAACTAAATATTACTTTAAAGATACATTAACAGAAATAATAATAATATATAATGATTTGAGTATGACAAAAATTTAAACAATTATTAAATGGTCAGTCTATGTTGGAATTCGGCCTTTAAAATGTATATATGTATATGCGGTTCTTGAAATTGCTTCTGTTAAATTTCCTCTTTAAATTAGCAGGAAGAGAGTTCCATAATCGACTAGCATTGACAAAGAACTACCTGATGATTGCTGTGATTTATGAAAAGGTATTATAATATTACCTACTCTGGAGGACCGAGTAAACGACAACTGAAAAGAAAAATATCATTTCTGGCTTTATGATAGTCCGCAATCGTACATCCGAATATCTGATCTTTCCAAGACGAGATGTGCTCATATATGTAAAGACCAAACACATACCGTGTGACTTTATTAAACATAACATCAATTTTAAGAGCAGACACACCCTCATGTTTGCAGTATACGACTTCAGAGTACATGATAACCGGAAGAAAAATTTGTATAGCAAATCGACGTCTGGTAGCAGTGGGTGTATAGATAGCAGTGGGTATATAGATATCTGACCGCCCAATATTCCTCAGAATGAGATAGACCTTACTAACAATGAAATCTACATGATCCGTGCATATAAGATTGGAGTTAATAATTTATTCTAAGTCTATGAATATTGGGTACAAAAAATCCAGCTTTGTCAGTTTTCTAGCACTGATTGGCAGCACGCAACACTTGTTTTTATTTAAAATTAGACCGCTGGCAGCCGCCCAGCTAGAAATATCAGCCAAGTCAGTGTTTCTAGAGTATTGTATAGTTGGTAAACTACGTGTTAACAAGGGATATAATAAACTATGTGTTTACAATTAAGAATCTGAGCAACGCAATTCTGGGCGTTCATTTAACAATATTGGGATTGAACTCGAAGGATTCAGGAAATCTGTGAGGCTTGTTCAGCACAACATTCTGTCACAACATTCCATGTTTTCTTCAAATTTATGAGCAATTGTCTCAACAAATATTTAAGCAAGTGAATTGTTAATCATTTTATATTGTGAACTGCTAAATACCTGATCTCCTGGATACTTTTTTGAGACCGCACATTATATATTCGAAATCGTCTAAAAACTGTACGTATTAAAACAGAGACTGTTATTTGGTTGACAGAGAAAATATTATTTCGTAGAACAGGGCCTAAATTCAAAAAAAAAAAAAATGATTTGATATATTCATTGCAACCCTGTTGTCAACAGATGACGAATGTCACAGGCAATAAATAAAAACTCAATTATTTAATGTCATTCAATACAACAACAATTTTACAAGGAGGCTCTATAAAACTGAGGCAAAAAGCTGGAAAACGTATAAAATATTTACATTATTAAAAGTTGACCTAAACCAGAGATGAAAGTGAAAAATACTAGAGGTTCTTATATAGGAGTATTTTGATTGTGAATGAGCAAATATTTTCTTCTATGTAACTTTTGCATAGTTATCCTGGAAGATAAGAAGTAAAGGAGATAGTTTTTGAACTGTATCTCATATATTTTATATAAGTGTAATCATGTTTGGTTTTGATGGAGATTATCGTCGTCGCCCGGTTCAAAGTTTAGGTGGAGCTTCCCAGACGTGTGATCGCGATACTATAATAAGAAAAGCTCAGCAGGAGCGACAAAAACGCAATGAACTACGTTTACAAAATAATGGAGCACTTGTGCTGCAATCATACACTCGCTCCTTTATTCATAGACAACGTCGAAAACGGTTGGAACGAGAAGCGTTTGATGATTTCCTGCGCACGCACCGCGAACGTGTTATTGAAGACGAATGTTTAGGATATTTGCTTCGCCGTCTTCTATTTTTCTACACAAACAGGGACAGCAAAGATGGTGAGCGTTTGGTAAGTACAATGTTACATACTAATTTCGTGAATCAAGATGTTTTTATGAGAATCATCCTATTTTACCATTTTTATAATTACCCTTTAATCTTTTTGAATAAATGTATATTTATGCTTTGGGGTTTTTAGATTGATATTTGTCAACAAATACTCCGTCATCCTGAACGTCTTCTTAGAAACTCAAGCTCAGAGTTTATTTGGCTACATCGATTAAAAAAATTGCTTGATGTTTGCATAACACAAATGACACTGCCACAAACCTCACCAGCAATACCGCTACGTATGTTGGAAGTGTTCACGGCAACTACAGTTATAGAACGTTATATGGAAGATGAAGCTCGAGTGCAGTCCTATTTGCAAGTTGTTTTTAGCTACTTAGTAAAGCATGATTACTTTGTGCGCCTCCGACAGTTAATGGAAGCAAAATGTCCACCATTGGATGGGGAGACTTTATATGCTCCAACCCCATTCGCAGAAGCTATTTTCCAACTAATGATCCGGCCTTTATTGCTGAAGGACAAAATGCCTCACATTTACGAAAATTTTTGTAAACATATTCTCGCTAAGCCTTTCACGGATCCCATACGTAGTTATGTGCTACCATCGTTAGCAGACTGCGGAGATTTTCCGTTTTCACATTTAATACAAACATTAAGGGATTTATCCATTTTCCGTTCAGAAAAAATGCAAGTGGACTCAAATTTTGGACCAACTACGTCATCAATACAACATCAAGATGATAAGTTGGATATCCACCGTGATGAAATATTCAGTAGTTATTTACTAAATTCAATTTTAATACTTGACCGTAAACATTTAGGTAGGGATCAAGTTCGAATGCTAGATATATGATATTAACTTTTACTTTTATTCAAGATTCTCTTCATACTCAAAATCTTCTTGGCGATTACATAATAGTAATTGCAAAGATTTCCGTTAAAATATTACAATTACCAAAATACACTCTTAAGCAATCAGTGGAACATCATCAGCGCGCTGATGCAGAAGAATCTAGTGACGACGATGATGACGATGAAGGAGAAGAGAAAATTCGACGAGATCAAATGTCAAATTATGATTTGGATTCTGGACCACCCCTTTTAAGCTCCGCGGAACAAGATGTACTTTTAGAGTGCATAAAGTTAATGAACGACTCGGAGCGTGTACGTACTCTTGCTGAACACACTGACACATATCTTGCAGATGAGAAGGTGCTTTATGCACTTTGCGAAATTTGCCACAATCTTATGATCTATAACAAACTAGCGGTTTTTCAGTACAAGTATATGTTGCAAGTAGCTTTTTTTTTTACTTTTACTTATAATTCCTTTCCATTAACAGACTATTGTATACACTGGCGTTTATGCCAAATGTAGTTCGAGCCATTTGGTTCACTTTGACAACCCAATCCAGTCAACTAGGCTTTAACGCACCACTTTCTTTAATTTCAAAAGGTGTTGTACGTAAGTAAATTTGTTTAATAAAAATCAACATATTTAACATATGTATATGATCATTTACAATTTCTTAATCTTCAGCTAAGCAGATTGGCGTTGAACAAACAATTCCGTTGTTGGCAACATTTTGCATGCTTTTCGGTCGACTGTTACCAACTTTACATGACGCTGAATTCTGTGATGAAAAACTTTTATTGGCAAAATCGCTTCAAGCTTCATTTGGCGCTGCAACACATATTCGATTAATGCCTTTTTCAATTGCCGAAATAATACAACTGTCGAAGACATTGAAGGAGATATCGCTGGGATTAGTGGACTTAGCTTTTCCTGAGACTCGTTCAAATCTCAATGAGCATTATAGATTTGTTTTGGGACATTCAGATTTTGATTTGAAAAAAATGTATCAACAGAAACAAGTTTGGGCAAATTTATTGAAGGTTGTTGTGTTCGTTTTGAATCAAATACATACAAGAGATCTGCGACTGGGTTTTTGCCCGGAAACTCACTGGACTGTGAGTCGTTTGGATCTCCCACTTGATAGGCCTACAGATTTGCCGTTAACACGTGGCAATCGTACCCGTGGTATACGACCTTTCCAGCCGATTCGAGATTTTACCCGGGAGGACTTCGAAAACGGCCCCCCGATGTCCACTAAACAAATACGCTCTATTACAATATTACGTGAAATTCCATTTGTGGTGCCCTTCAGCAAACGTGTAGGTATATTGCAAGGTCTGGTGGCTGCTGATAAGATGCGTGTTCAAGGCAACTACCAAGCATTTCTCCAAGGACCATCTATAATTCTCAAAGTTAGACGTTCACACCTTTATGAAGACGCTTACGATCGACTTCGACCGGAAAATGGTTAGTATTTAAGCTTATTATTTTTATACATACAAATTTTGATGACATTTTAATTGGATTTCAGAACCAGATCTACGTTTAAAGTTCCGGGTTCAGTTCATTTCATCTCTTGGTCTGGATGAGGCTGGTATCGATGGTGGTGGGGTGTTTCGTGAATTTTTATCCGAATTAATTAAAACTGCTTTCGACCCAAATCGAGGGTTCTTTATGTAAGTAAGACTTGTTTTTGAAAATGATGTCAAACCTAAGTTGAGTATAATTTTTAAAGGGTCACTACCGATAATAAATTGTATCCTAATCCTGACGTCGCTGATTTGGAACCTGATTTTGAACGACACTACTACTTCATTGGACGAATTCTTGGCAAAGCAATTTATGAAAATTTACTAGTGGAATTACCTTTAGCTGAATTCTTTCTAACTAAACTCGCAGGCAAATATGCTGATGTCGATATACATCAACTAGCATCCCTTGATCCAGAGCTTTATAAGAATTTACTGTATCTGAAAGATTACGAAGGAGATGTGAGCGAATTGAATTTAGATTTCACAGTTGCCAGCAATTCACTGGGTCATACACAAGTAGTTGAATTAAAACCGAATGGCCAGAGTATACCTGTAACTGCATCAAATCGCATTGAATATCTGCAGTTGATGGCAGATTACAAATTGAACGTACAGATACGAAAGCATTGTGTAGCATTTAGGCGCGGTCTTTCGAATGTGTTGCCCGTCGAGTGGTTGTATATGTTTAGTAATAAGGAATTGCAAATATTGATATCTGGTGCTGAAATCCCAATAGATTTAGTTGATCTCAGGAAGCACTGCAAATATGGTGGCGAATATAGCCTTGATCATCCATCTATTATATTGTTTTGGTCTGTTTTGGAAAGTTTTAATGATCTGCAACGCAGGCAACTCCTGAAATTTGTGACAAGTTGCTCCAGACCACCACTTTTGGGCTTTAAGGTAATTTTTGCTTAGATTTTACATAAATAATGCCAAATTTAATATCTTGCCTCTTTATTTTGTGTCTTGAACAGGATCTTGACCCGCCTTTCTTTATACAGAATGCCGGTGATATGGAAAGGTTGCCTACAGCAAGTACCTGTACAAACTTGTTAAAGCTGCCACCATTCACAACGGAAGAGCAAATGCGTGAAAAATTATTATACGCCATACAATCGGGTGTAGGCTTCGAGTTGAGTTAGATCTATCCTTCTGAACTTTAAAAATATTTATCAGAAACTATGTATATTGCTATTAATAGTAGGTTAATGATATAAATTCATCTAAAATTAACGCCATCATTTGAGTATTTCAACATTTGTAAGAAATAAAATGTGTTCTTAAATGTGTGCGGTGCTGCAGAATTAAAGAAAAAGAATTTGAACAAGTTGGGCAAAAATGTTAGCCTATAGTGAATTGCTGTAAGATAAAAAAATAAAAACAATTCCCATTCCTTATAATTTTGAAAATAACTACAATTTAAATTTTAGTTTTACATAAAATTTCAACAAATATCCATAGTTGATCATTTATTTTGCTTCCTAACAATTATTCTTTATAAATATAAAATATATATCTATATGTATAATATATACATATGTTTGTGTCAATATTGGTAAATTAAATTGCTGAACATAAAAAAAAAATCAAAACCATATTTCCTCGTGTAAACATGCATATTTATTACAATAAAATTAACAAATATAAATACAAATCGTACGGAAATTCTGACGATTACAACGTATATATTGCTATTCTATTTGCTTTAGTTTATTGTATATACACTTATTTTCTAGAACAATTTCACTTCTATGGTTTTTCCCGGTTACATTTTAAGATACATTTTTATAATCAAAAAAACAAAACTAAAATAATTAAAACCGTAAAGTGTAGCTAAATTATGACTTAGAAACCTGAAAGCTTAACAATTTAACAAAATTATTTTTACCTTACCGATATACGAGTACAGTTATACATATAATACAGTGGTGTAGCCAAAAGTAATGGGTATCAATGTAATGCTACATCTGTGAAATAGTTGTCTCAAGAACGTCTCTTACCTCTTGCATTGTCACTAGCGAGTCAAACGAAAGTATTAGCGAGTTCGACAGGTACCGAATCATGCAATGGGAATTTGAAAAAAAAAAACACTGAAGAGTGAAGATAATTTCTTGTGCTGCTATTTGCGAATATTTAATCATAAAAATCAATCAGAAAGGAAGTTGTTAATTTCATACTTATGAATCAGAGCATGATAAATAATACTGAAACATAATAGTTTACTTTATCCTGTTAGAGTTAGAAAAGGCTTTTTCAGTTAGGCATAGCCAGTTCTAAACTCATCAAATTTAAATGAATTACCGTTCGTAGCGTTTAGAAACCTGCTTCTCACTGAGTTTGTAAGGTTAAATGAACTTTTATCGAAAAAGATTGAATTAAAGGCTTTTATTGACTAACCTTGGAAGTTCCACTTCTTTTTAATAGACTTTATTCTTCCGATAGCCGGTTCTACGCACCGAAGTTGACCCAGATTTCATGCGGTCAAGGGCTGTAACTCTTTCGGCGACGTAACCTCATTTAGGTCAATACATAACATTAGTCCAAGCTCATCAGCGGAGCAAAACCTCGCAGCTGGGTTGCTAAAAATCCTTTTCATCTGGGCTGGCGTCGAATCAAACCTTGGTCCGACGGAGTACTTTAGCTAGGTGTAACATAAACGACTCCATCATTCTTCCATTTCGATTAGATGCAGCCAGTGCAATGCTTGGAGCCATTTAAAGTCCTGCTGAGGCCTTAAGACACATATGGAATGGTTGCCCGTTGCGTGCCCCATGCTGTCAGCACTCAACTGCCTTCTGGCATCGTCTTCTATATCCCCACCTACTCTGGGTAACCACCATCGGACTTTAACCTTTTCTCGGAGCTCCGGAGATCGACGGGGTAATTGACATCATGAGCAGGGAACTTGTTGCTTGATATCCCTGTTGGATATCGTCTTGATATAGGTGTACTACCCAGAGGCGAAAACCGTTTGGTTTTGAATGAGTTTAATGCGTAGCATGATATTTGGCATTCTAGACTGCCAAATGATCGTAGAGGGATGAAGCTATGCTGACACTAGCTTTGGATCACTTACCCTTAATAGTTTCGATTGTCATGGAAACCGCCGAGAATGCTCTGGACCACAGTCAAAACGAAGCACGATGATTCAGTGGAAATTTCATTTGGCATTCTGGCCTCGTTGTACCCGAAGAGGTTCTTGAGCTATTTTAGGCGACTTTCAGAACTGCAGTCCTCTGTAAATAAAATAATGCGACAAATGACCCGTCACCTGTGTAAACTGCCACTCAACAGTGTTTTCCTTGATTTTTCGCCATCGGAAAGGCGAAAGCCTCCAAACCTATCGACCCGAGGGAATAAGCATGCTGTTGATAAACCAGCGAGAGCAGACTATTTCACTGACGTCCACAACTTGTCTTTGTCCACCTTTATAAAATCCGACGTGCGGAAAATAGTAGCGTGTTCCCGCTATTAAAACCGGAAAACCAGACAACATCGTATCGGCCAATATCTCTCCTCTCCCCAGTAGCGAGTACCCTTGATGACTTGTTGCTCCCGTTTTTCACACACCATCTGAGCCCAGCCACACATGCTGTCTTCCACAAATGTACAAAATGCAGTAAACACCCTGATAGTCAATGACCTCAACAAAACCGGTCTTCACGCTAACTAATCTTTAAGCACTGGACCTGTCAAAAACTTTTAATACCGCCAATCATTCAGAGCATCTAACTGACATTTAGGACTCCTCTTTACCGCCGAGGTGGTGAAGAGATGAAACAATCATAAGTAGAGTTTCGAGATTAACTGGTTAAGTTCTATATCTTGAAGATCCCTTCTCCACCAGAAGGAGTTTCACTGACCTCATATTCCGATGATTCTTTGGCATGTGGCCAAGATATTGATGATTTATGTTCCAAAAGAAATTGGTATTTCGTCGACTTTACCCACTACAGCTGTAAACTGTGAAATCCTCAGCCGGACGGAGGAGTACCTGCGCAAACTCAAGGTAAAAGCCGACGACATAATAAATACGGCAATTAAAAACTGGGATTCACATTTGACAGCCAGCACTCCTTCATATAATGGCATTTATCACACAATTACAGAGCTGCAAAAAAATCCTCATAGCGTTGGCCGGCAGCACCTTGGTCAAAGACACTTTCTTGAAGCCAAGCAACCACCCAGGAACATTAGGAAGGAACCACAAGTACTACATTTAGCATCACGTATAGGAACCACTGGACGGCTCATCGAGAGCCGATAATATCTTCTTCAATTTTCTTCCAGTGAACGACGTTGTCGGAGCCAAACCACAATCCATTGCAGGCAAAGAGCTCGAGAACCCAGCGTAATAGTGGGACAATTTATATCTTCATAATATAGTCGACTACCCAATGCTTGTTCCGCATGCAATGACATACTAACCACCTCTTTGTATACCCCTCAAAACCTGCCAATCTAACCCCCATACAGCTCGTTTTCTAGACCTCCCAACAGGTGACCTCTTAAGCAGGGTTAGAGTAGCCGCTACAAAAACAACAACTACAAATTTATCCTATTTGGTGTGAATCGGCGTTTTTTTCGCTCTCTTGTTTTTTACTTAAAAAAAAATAGTTAATGCGGATTGCCATGGATTCAAAACCTGGCCAGACTAACATCCAAAATTTAAAAAAAAGGACCTTGCGTTCATCCCCCGCGAGTTATATATTATATTATTATCAATGATAATAATCAGTTATATTTCTATAGTTTGATGGTCATTACGTATATAATATGGGTCAACTAAAAAGTTCATTCGGTTTTTTTTTATTGATTTTTCAAAATATACCCCTTGCGTAGAAGGCTGCGTCCTTATTGGCAAGAAACTCAGAGAGCCAATTTTCACAGGCCTCTCTTCTTCTCACTATTAAGCGCGTTCGTCATGGACAGGAAAAGATGGTAATCTCTTGGTGCCAGGTCCGGACTATAAGGTGGGTGCCTTAGGACCTACCATCCTAGCACCTGGAACTTCTGGCGTGTCAGCAAAGACGTGTGTGGTCTGGCGTTGTCCTGATGGAACACAATTCAGCCACTGTTGATCAATGATGGCCTCTTCTGGATGAGTGCTGCCTTCAAGTCGTCCATTTGTTGACTGTTGGGGGCCGAATTGAGCGTTTGACCATAGGGGAGCAGCTCTTAGTAGATGATTCTTTGCAAATCCCACCAAACACACAGCAAAACCTTCCTGGCCGTCAATCCGGTCTTGGTCACCATCTGGGCCGCTTCCCCGAGCTTTAACCACGACCGTTTGCGCTCGATATTGACCCATTTTTCATCGTCAGTCACAATCCGCTTCAATTTTGTTGCGATTCAGCAGCGATTCGCAGATGGAAATTCAGGGTCCATCTTGTTTTTTTGCGTTAGCTCGTGTGGCACCCAAACATCGAGCTTCTTTTTAAATCCAAAGTTATGCAAATAGTTCCAAACGGTTTTCTAGCTTATCTTTAGTTCCTCAGCAATTAAATAAGTGCTCACGCGACGGTCTGTTTCCACTATTTCCATGATTTTATCGCAATTTTCGACGACAGGCCTCCCGAAGCGTGGTGCATCTTTGACTTTAAAACTACCGGAACGGAACCTAGCAAACGACTTTTGTACTACACGTTCGTTTACAGTATCGGGCCCATAAACTAAATTAATTTTTTCAGCCGCTTTGGCTGCTTTTTCGACTTGTTCGAAGAAAAATTGTAAAAATAGCGAATTTTCTCTTTGCTGATGTCCATCTTTGACGAGCGCTCACAACGTGCTGAGTCAATCAATCGAAAAACTGTCGAAGATAAACTTTTAGTTCGAATAAACACTAGTACTATGGACAATAACGCCATCTCTTAGATAAAAACCGAACGAACTTTTGCCCTAATATATATGTATATTTATGAGAAGCTTTTTTTCATGTCATAAATACACTCGAAGGGCTTGACATTCGCTACCGAGGGGCGAAAGCAATTAAAAAATCCAAATTTTTCATTAAAAATACATTTTGTAATTGCAGCACGCAATGCTAACCACTCCATCAGCGCGACCGCGATTCAGTATTGGCTTAAACTCATGCACCCCTCATGAGAAGAAAAATATTGAAACAAAAAATCTTTTGAAAAATAAATTTTTTCCTGCTTTGTTTTGCAGTTTTCCGTATTATTTTTCGATGAATGGACCGATTTTCTGGCCTCTTGACTTGCCATATTCGAACAGACTTTCTTAATTATTGTAAGAATTATTTAATTTCTGAACTGTCCAATTGAGGTTAGGTATGCAAAACTCAAGTCTGGCGACTGGAGGATCACATCAGCTTCAATTACTAATTTGTCTTATCTTGTGGCTTACAGAAACAGAATCCTTATGAAAAAAATTTTTTTTTAGTCGCGTTATACCGCTTTTCCAATCACTTATAATTTTATTTTTAAATGCATCGGATAACGTGTTTCTGCTGATTTCTCAAAACACACGCATTTTTAAGTGACGAAAGCAAGAGTAGTTACAGTTAAGCCATATATCAAGTTTTTCATTGAGTAATTTTTGACTTTTTCAAAACCTATGAGAGGGTTCTTTAATTTCTGTCAATACTGTGCGTGTATTCGATTCGTCAATTTCATTGGACTCCCAAGTGACACTACAAACCTATAAAGCTCAATTTTTACTGCGCCAACAACTAGTTTTTCAAATTAAAATCTTTCACATCATTCACAATGCGCTTGTAAATAAGTCGCGGAGCCATATTGGAGTATAACATGTCTATGTGGTTGAAGCCGCGCAGTTCATGCAAAACATATTTTGTATTCTTCAGCTTTTGTAAAAGGCGTACAACATCCTAGAAGTATAGGCAGAAATAAATGAGGATAAAGGAAGTGCAAAACAAATTCATTTACTCACCTCTTTGACTAAAAGTAAATCACGTGTGCCAAAAAATAACTGCAATGGGACTCGCACATTGCGTAGATTATATTCCGGGGGAGTGTGACGATTGTATTGACGGAAGTTTTCCTCCTTCGATTGGTAATCAAATTTTTGAAAATTACCTGTAAAAAAGCGTACTATTTCTACAAAAAATTCCTCCTTCAATCTTTCATTCAAGTAGCCTTCTTACATAATTCAAACTAGCCAATTAACTCGAGAGAAATTAAGTCAAAAGAACTACTGAATAAAAACTTTGGCATTGGGAAACGTTACTGAGTTTCACTCTCCCGTTAGGCTGGTAAGAGCGAGACTTATACAGAGAGTCAGAAGATAACTGATTCATAGAAAAACAAATTAATTTAAATTGAACCAAAGTGCAAAGCCCAAAGAATAAATTCATTTATTGTAAATATACAGTTATATAACAAGAGTCCGAAATAGTTTTTCTTTCAAGTTTTAAATGCCATATGGATCTCACTTTTATTTAAAAGGTTAGTAAAAGAACACTCTTTGCTTTTCTAAATGCAATTTCGGAGAAGGTTCTATAAAGGATTTAGGAGCTTCTATGTCAAAGGCTACGCTCGAATTCCAGTACACGTCATCTCGAATGAATACTCGTACACATGGAGGTAATGAAACGAATTTAAATTTTGGCTGATTGTGTCATAAAAACCATTGACGGGTGGCCCTGCTCTCCGGGCTTCAATCCCGTAGAGAAAGTGTGGGGTCTATTTTTGAAAAGGGTTTAACCTAATAATCGGTAATACAACAATATAGATAAGCTTGAGCATAGAAATACTACCGAATGGTCTAACATGAATGTCTTTTAAAGAAATTGACTGAATCGATTGCGTTGCAAGAGCCAATGATGTATTTATTGGTCATTAATACATGCTGAAAAGACTGAGTAAAATACTTATTTAGATAATTTTAACCGTTTTTCTGTTACTTTGCTGTTCAAATTTTAGGTCAAAATATTGAAAAAGAAGCTGGTGTCTCATGATTTGGGAACACCCCTTATAATTTTTTCAAAATTAAAAAGTATATGAATTTTCGGTAATATGTACAACAAAAAATAATTACCTGAGCTTATAAGTTGTCCGAAATGTTTAAACTGCTTTCGTGATATGCCCGCGGGAGTGGTCTCCAGAATTCGAGGAAAGAGTTTCTGTCGAATAAAAAAAAATACATTTTGTTAAGTTTGAGTGCAGACAATTAAAGGAAGATAAAATAACTTTAAACAAATATTTTTATTGCTAAAAAACTTACTACATACATATATGTATACATAAGTATCACACACTACATCGAAAACACTCACCACTCAAAAATTTCTCAATGTTCAAGAGAGGCAAGAAACAGTTGACACTGTTCAAGCGACGCGAGTAATGTGAAAACAGGAATAACGGTATTTATCAAATACAGGCAGACTGTAAGTTAAAAGAGTCTCTTGATGGTCATTGGAGATGTGCCCTATGAGCTGGCTTACAGCAAAGAAAGATTTCTGTTTTGGATTTAATGAGCGATATGCTAATTTGGTTGTACTGTGTACGTGGTGTAAATTTGGTCTGCTCTCAAAAGGGTTTTAGTGGACCAATCATATACATAATCATCTATATTTATTTGTGTTGGTCACCTTTTCAACTTCTCCTCAATGGCTTGATTGATTTGGATGAAGCTTTGTCTATAATGGATTCCTATGTGGTCGACGAAAATTTCTTCAAAAAGACCTATTACAGAATCTGTTTCTTTTGAGTATGGGATGGGCAGGGCTCTAGCGGTAGTCACAATATCTACATGGACTCATCTAAGGAACAGAGTGGTCGTCGGAACGTTTTGTATTAGATCACAGGCAACTATTCTGGAAGATTGAATATTGCAGTATTTTCCAGAAGGAAGTTCCTGCTGTACGGTAACTCGCTGTATAAGCCTTTACTGCATAAAACTATAATTAAAGCATTACGGTGGCTAAGGGGCAACGGCCATTCTACTGGGTTCCATCAGATAATGGCATTGCAGACAACATTGATACGATTGCTAAAGTCCTATCGGATGAGATAATCAGGGACACGTGAACGAAAAATAAATTCTACGAAAGAAAGTTACGTCATATTACAATTATATGAATGAAGACGGAATGCTTAATTCATTTAAATAAAAGTAAGCTAAATATACTCGCTTTTTAAATATCGGTGCAAGGGTGATCTCATTTTAGGCTTTATAAGCCTTCTTGCAAAAGAGTTATTAAAAACCTGCTTGTGAGACTCAATTTTTTCTACATCTTCGCATTTTTACCTGGCGGCAATTCAGTCTAAGCTCATCTCTCAGCCGATTTGAAGTCATAGCTGGGCTGGGCAGCATTTTCTTTGCTAAATTATGGCGCTTTTACTTTAACTCTTTATAAACTAAGATTTTCATGGGGGATAATACAGTTATATGCACGGATGACAGTTCAAAATAAGCGTAAGTTATATTGTACATTCACTGCTGTTATAAACCCGGATGTCGTGATCTGAAAAACTCATTCTTATTTGAGTTGTACATTACTGTATGTGGTAATTAGAGCTTAATACAGGAAATATGCGGCCTCGAGAGCACTGTAGGACTTTTGCGGGTCTTATGACATCCCACAATCAGAAAGAATAAACGCCGGCTCTATTTCTGTCCGGCCTTATATAAAACGCGTTTTTAAGGTCTTGGAACTTCGCTAGAACTAGCAATTTAGGCATAGCTTCTTCTCTACTTGTACAAATTCCATTAAAATAGTTAACAATCGTAAATGGTGAAAGACAGAGCACTTTGATGTTATGTAGCTTTTTGGTAATTTCAATGCTTTTTTTTTAGTTTTGGGAGCCAATAGAGGACACTAAGTGAAGTCAGGCAATAGTAAACTTCTCTTTTAACCGGACTGGAGATATTTCACTTTTTCTGATACCAAATCTGTTACTATTTAGAAATTGAGAGTTTGCGTTCATACGGATTACGTGGCTTAGTCAACATATTGAATCATCGCCCAAATTTCTGTACAATAGACTACAGGAGGTTGAAGTGCGACCTAAAGAGTCTGACTTTTATTCGTCCATGTTGGCAATAGTGATTCTGTGTTGGAGATTCGTTCGCCTCGCTTTATTGGCCTGAACGCAGAAAACACTTATTCCACGTTGATTGGTATCGGGCTATAAAAGGTTCTTATACACATACGAATACATACCATCGGTGCACATACATTTATATACACGTCTGTGTTAATGTTCACTTTTATATGCAAGAATTCATAAAATGTGAAAGTGAATTTTTGTTTTCATTTCCTTTTTCGTTTCCGGTTTGTCTTCACTTTTTCCGCTGACTTTCGAAGAGACGTTAAAATCACAATTTTATTGCCATTTCTGGTTGAGTGTATGTATTCAAAAGTGCAGTTAGCTCTAAGGTGAAAAGTATGTCCTTGTCAAGTGTTAGGTATTGCTTATACTTTTTACATATGCTAGATGGAGGATTATTCTAATCTCTGTTGCTCACTTGCATATACATATATATGTATGTATACGCTGTGTTCCCTGAACTGAATATTGTAATTGTGTTTTTGTTGTAATAATTGTTTCCTTGCGAAGTCTTTCACATGAACTTTTAAAAGATATACTTGTTTAACTTGGTACAAAATGAATAATTGGAGTGTTGCTATCGAAACGATGGTTGGTAAGTTTGATTTATGTAAAAATGAGGTAATAATTTCAGGATTGACGTGGAACAGTGAAGCAGAATTGATGTAGCTCTGACCGTTTGCCTGTTTGAAAGCTAACTTTTGGTCATACGTGACATTTTTGTAACTGCTTGGGTTAAAAAGCTTAGAGCATGATCATCCTCATTGTGGAGAATATGAAGTAGAGCTCTAGATACTTGGGCATGTAAGTTTGAAAATTTTAATTTTTCAACTTTGTTCTTAAAAATTGGTTTAGTGACCTGTACGCTTTGAGAGAGTAAATTTAAAAGTATAGAAAAAACTTCTGGGAAGAAAGTTCAAAATTTTCGAAAATATTCAAACAAAATCAATAGTACTACAACTCATGATTCAAAAATTATATAAGGCGGTTTCACTTCGAGAGTTTTGACAAACGTGTTTGCTCAGAAATGTTTGATCTTGCAACTTATAAAATTTTCTACTTGGATACAGGTATGATACTCAAAAAAAAAAAAAAAATATTTCAAACCGTTTTTCTTAGGCAGCAGAAATAAGAAAAGAATTTGCCAGAATACTTTTATAATAATCAAATGGAAAGAGTTGACATTATTTACTTTTTTTCGTAACTTAGACTTATAGGTTATCTCAACTATATGGTTATTGTCCATGGTTTGTCTACCTTTTTAAACAGGACCTCTATAAGCATAAAACCCGGCTTATTACCGGATTCATTGAAGGGTGGTCTGTGTATGCCCTTGTCCAGCTCTCAGTGCTTTCCGTTCTCGATTACTCTGGCATTATTAATTTCCTGAACTTCGTAAAATACAACAAGTCGTTTGAGTAACTGGAAAAGTGAGTGGAATCATAGAACCAACATAGGTATAATCACGAGATTTGGATTCCGTGATCGAGCAACCTGTTTAACTGACTAATTGGAGTTAGATTGAATTCAAGATTGTTTCGAAATTGAATCGAATAGAAACTTTTAGCGTAATTATGAGATTTTTTTTTATTGAAATTGTACTGCTATAAAAAATTAACAATTATTAGATGAGAAGGCATGTGAAGATGTGGTTAGTGTTGTGCGGAGACTCTCCACATGCAGGGCATACGTTGGATATGCTGGGGTCGAGTCTGAATAAGTAGGAATTTGACCTGCTACAATATCCAGACCTAAGTTGTGCCAATGTCACGCGGGTCTCTCGTGGCTCGAGCTCTTTGTCTGCAATGGGTGGCGGTTTTACTCCGAGCACGCTATTCACTAGAAGGGAGTCTTTGAAGGTGTTGACTGACTCCTGGTGAATGGCGATCAGTGCCCGTCTGTACGTCGTCCTGTCCACCATCCTGTCCACCGGTTGTTGTAAGTATTGCTGGATGGTGTTTTTCAAGCCGAGTACTCCCTTTCTGATGTGCCGCTTCCTGCGGTATCATCCCAATGGGAACTGCTTGCACAGCAAAGCATTATGCTCCTTAACTCGTAGCATAGATGCTTCGCTGTGCAAGTGATGTCCGGCGACATCAAGAGGTTTCCTATCGCAGTCCTGAGGGTGGTGTTTTGGCAAGCCTGTAGCTTCTTAATCTGCGTCTCGTTGGTCCCCGGCGCCCTGATCGGCGCAGCATAGTTTACGACCGGCCGCCCATAAGTTGCCAGCAAATTTTCCTTGTCTTTACCCCAGGTACTGCCGGTTAGCGCTTTGAGTATTTTGTTGCGGCTCTGGAGTTTTGCGGCAATTGCGGTTGTATACGGAGTGAAGGAGTACACGCTGTCTAGTGTCACTCCCAATATCTTTGGGTTGTCTACAGTCGGAATTTTTTCGTCATCGACCTTCACATCTATTTCAAGCCTGTATTCCTTCGACCAGCTGGTGAAGAGAGTAGCCGAGGAAATTTAGAAAGCTTAAAGTTTGGTACGCAGTTCAAATGAAAATGCTCGCTATGAAAAACAGATATTATATAATGTATGTGAAATACACACTGTTATTTCGCCCGAAAGCTTGTGTTACCGTGATTTTGTTTTTAGAAATAGTCTACAGAAAAAGCAGTTTATTCATTTGAGGAGCCACTGCTTTTGATAACTTTTTAAACTTTTCTATTTATTTAAAATCGGAAGCTCTCAGTTATGCATTTGGAAAATAAATAGAACGGCGTTGTGGTTCGATGGCTCATTAGAAATTGAAGCGTTTTTGAAACTGATCTCAAATGGAAGAGCATTTCCAACCCTTTTCTTTCCTACTTAAGCAAAAACCAAAAGAAAATGTTTAATTTTTTTCACACTTTCTTACAGGTCGGACTAGTACTCGAGCTATGGCCTTCCGAATGGTAGCACGCAATGCTAACCAGTCGCCTTTTGCGGGTGCAAATGAAGACAACTCATAATAAGGACCAAGGTTTGTATGAAATTTTGATACTAAATATTCATGGACTTGGATATGCCTGCTCAAGCACGTCTTATACTTTCCCTAAAACTTTATTTGCAGCCACCTACGAACGGC